CTATTAAAAGCAACTAAAAAGACAATTTACCATCCTAAACAATAAATAAAATGCAGGTTGTATAACCTGCATTTATTTACTGAAAGCAAAAGGACAACTTGCAGAGTTTTTTAAAAAAAAAGGCCCCAATTCTGAGTTTTTCAAATTTCATTTTAAAGGGCTATCACTTAGGAGTGGGAAAAGAAAGGGGGCAAATTGAGAAAATGTCCTTCTATGGACTGTACTGTTACCATGGAAAAGCAGAAATAACTTTAAACTTAAATGCAATTAAAATACTCATCCATGAATTCAAGCAAAGCTTGAGAAGCTTAGTAAACATTAAACTGCAGTTCACTTTGGTGAAAATGAATGTCTGTGCCTGTCACTTCGTTCCTTAGAGGCCCTTAAACATGCCTGGCACATAATGGCCCATTTGTCGGTGGTGAAAAATGGAGGCGACAAGGAAAATAATTTATCTCCAGACTGTCAAAATCAAAATTAAATGAAATAATTTCTTCGATAATTCAGAAACTTTCCAGCTAAGTATTTTAAGAAACAACAAGTTAACAAAAACCTGATTTGTTCAACTAGCTAATCAACAGCCTTTTCATTCACTTAGTGGCATATGATTTTAGTGACACAGAAAAGTATGGTAGCAGGAATCTCTCTTTCTTATTAGAGCACAACAATCAGGAGCTAAGTGTCGACGTGTGTGTGTGTGTGTGTGTGTGTGTGTGTGTGTGTGTGTGTACGTATATCTATCTATCAATCTATCTGGACACATACATACAGGTACATAGAGCAGAGCCTGGCTATAATGCAATCATTGGGATCCATGCTGAGTTTATGTGTATTATACGTACAGGTATCTATACCTGCTCCTTTCTGACATACACAGTGAACTCTGTTGCAGTCTTAATGGAAGTGACTCCAATGGTGTAGTGATGGGAAGTGAACAGAGACCAAAGTCACCCAATGGGCGCTCTAGATTGCTACAACTAACATACAAGCAATGACTCTGGCGAACATTCGCAGAACCTGTCTCCGGCAGGCACTGTGTTCAGTGCTTCCTGTGACTGCAGCCTTGTGAGGTAGGAGACCGCTCCTCCTCTCATTCCCAGATGAGAAATGTGAGGCACAGAGTTAAGGAACTTGCTTCAGAGCAAACCTGGGAACATGGTGAGGCAACGACTTCCACTAGGGAGCCTGGCTTCAAGATCCAGGCCCTTGACCACCACACCACTGTCTTTCTTCTGTCTCCTCAGACTCTTCAAACTGGTGGGTAAGACTGGCCTAGCATAACACTCTCATGATACTTTTTTTTTGGTGGGGAGGAGGGGTGCTTAGTAATAGCTTTTCTTGGGTAACCCACAGCCTCAAATTTCAGCTCCCTCAAATTTCCCTATTTAAATAACTAATGGTACATCTGGCCTATGTATCTAAAATGGGTGAGTTAAGGTGTGTATGTGACTATCTGTGACCACCTGCACAATTCTTTTGAAGCTCTCCATCTTTAAAGATGCACCAATACCCTACCACAGTGTAATCTGTTACAATGGAGGATTTTACACAGTACAGGTCTGTCTTTCCTACATACACCCAATAGGTCGTCATTAAATACAATCTCACAGAATGGATCCTGGTGATGGCATCACAACCAGGCTCTATTATAAAACCTGGAATTTAACAGTAGATTACCTGGTATCTGTACAGCACTCTACAAATTACAAAGCACTTTCTCATACATTATCTCACTTGATCCCCACAACATCCCTCTAAGAAGAGGCAGGGATTATAATTTCCATTTTGCAAATGAGGAAATGAAGTGAGGTGAAACATCCACTGCCAGCAAAAAGGCTCTCAGGCTCTTGGGCCCATGAGCCAGCACTTTCACTACTTCTTTCTACAATATCTTCATTTTAGGCAACAACAAACCTCACTTCTCCTAATGTCCTGCTTCCATCAAGGGAAAGTGAAGCAAAGGAGGGCTGAGAGAGATGCTCAAGACCTAAGTGCTAGCCAACTGCAGAGACAGGAACTGGAACTCAACTCAAGTGTACAGCTCCAATTCTTAGAGGGCAAGGAGTCATTCTTTTCATAAATACTTGTCAATTGCTCATTCTGGACTAGATACTATGTATACTAGGTGAAAAAGAGACATGGTTGCTGCCTGAAGAAGTATTCCATTTAATGAGGGAGGGAGATGATAAAAAAGCAAGCAAACAATTTTAGCAAATTCACATTGTGATAACTTTCAAGGAAACAAGAAGAATACAGGGAAGGGATAAGGAGGTGGAGAACGTATTTACACAGGTGGTTAGGGAAGGCCCTGCTGCAGGGCAGGTGACTTTTTAAATTGAATGCTAAAGGATAAAAAAGGGCCATGAGATGAGTATAGAGAACTTTCCACATGGACTGAATAGTATTTCTATAAAACAACTGTACTAGGTAAGTTTCTTGTCAGTGGGTCATTAATGAGAGTTTTTGAACAATGCCTTCTAATCCTTACCATCTTACTATTTCCGAGTTAAACAGGACTCATTTCACACGCCTAAGTCCCACATTTTAAAGATATGTTCATTGAGGTCTGGAACACTGGTCTTTTTGTTATCCTGTCTAATTATGGTATAAAGAATTGGACAAAATTATCAATAAAGACTCCAAATTTCATAATCTTTTCTCAAATCACCTTTTGAAGTCTGAATCTCACACTAACTTTCCTCTACCTTAATACTAATTCTATGTTAAGCTAGTAAGTTAAATTTAGGGCTCTAAAACTCATCAGTTTTACACAGCATGTGTTTATCCTGTGCAAATAATGCCAGAATACCACAACTGGATTGTGTTTATCTAGTGAGTTGGCTATTCATTAGCTTTTATAAAGCATGACCAAACACCTGCAAAGGGTGCTAAGTGTACCCTGGTGAGGAGGTATCCATTCATATTTATTTAGGTTAAGAGCAGAGTTGCTTCTCTGGTAGAAGGAGCCAATGACATTCAAATTCCTGGAATTACCGTGGGCACCACCTTTCCCCTCCTCTGCTCACCTTTCTAAAGCAACTTGATGGTATGTTGACAATCAGGTCAGTTTCAAGCATGTTAGATTGTACCTGTAATTTAGGCAACTTGCTTTTAAAAGCTACCATTAGTATGAGCAGAAAGGAAGTATTATCTAGTTCAACTTCTGAGAAGCAGTAATGAAGAGTTATTTTCATACAAAACTCAAGACTGGAACATAATTAAATCTCACAGAAGGGTGGCCAGTATCTATTGTGAATGGAAGTAGGAAAAACAACTTGAGAAACAGTAATTTTACCAGTCAAAAATATGAATAATTTAGACATTTCATAACAGCCATTTAAAAAAAACCAACAGATTTGCTTTCCAACCCTTATCAGTGACTGGTGCAATCCTGCTGAGCCCTGAAATGTAAAATATGCTTCCACACAAGTGGAACATCAACTCCCTGCAAGGCTGTGTAAGATAAAAGCTGTAGGAGGCTGAGTTCCTGCCCTTAAGGAGTTTACCCTCTAATTTATCTGCCAGGTTAGAAATTGGTGGTTCAAGACTTCTCTCACCTATTAACAAGTGTCCATGAGAACACAAAGGTGAAAATAAACCTCTGGCAGAGGTGAGGGGAAGGACAAACTGCCTGGAGTCCATGCTAAAACCTCTACGTATTTCTCTTCAAACCTGCTAATATCCAGAAAAGGATGGGTTATAACATAATTAATCACAGACATCAGGTTAAACAAGATACCATCTTATTTTAGTCTTTGCAAAATTTGGACTTTTGCTAATATAAGTATCTAGACTATCTTTGGTCTCTGTTTAAGTAAAATGCCTCTTAAAACTGTATAATTGCATAGCGTTTAAAAAAAGTTAAAAAAAGCAGGACTATGTACAGTGAACTTGGATGTTTCAGTCTCAACAAATGTATTACAGATTTACAACAGCTTAAAACTTTGCAGAACACTTGTTCTTCAGGAGAAAAAAAAAAAGGGCAATTTATACCTCACCTTTCTTCACCCCTGACAGTTGCCTAGAAACCAGTCCTGCCCTACCTGTGTTGCAGGTGTACCTCAAGTCACCAACACATCTCTTTTAAAGCTACAGTCTCTATTCTGACTGCATTTAAGTTTATGACTAACAATCTATTCACATTTTTATCAGGTAAGAGACTGGTTTCTTTCAAGCAATGATGAAATCCTAATAAAGACCTAGCAAGCACCAAAACAGCACCAATCAGGGTTAAGGAGTCATCTAGTTTGTGCAAGGATGTGATATACATATATAAATACACGAAATTCCGAGGAAGCATTTACGTCTGAACACGTAATTCTGCATTTCCATTTCCTTTGAAGCAGTACTTAAGACACTTCGAGCAAAGCATCACGTTTCTAGAAGAGGAGGAAAAGGACACGGAGCAACTTGGATGAATCAAGAAACACAGACTTAGGAAGTGACCACCGTCGCTGAGGCATCAGGCAGAGGGACAGAGGCTGAATGAGAACTGGTACCAATCCCGGAGAGGCAATTAGCGAGCCCGGGCAGCTTCCCACCAACGCTTTTAGGGCAGGATTCTCCGCGGCACTCGGTGTGTCATGGGATCACACAGCCCTGACTGAGACCACGGAGATGGGGGACCCCGCGAGCCTCTCCGCCCCCCAAATCCCCGAGCTGCCAGTCACTGCGCGCGCAGCCCCGCGCTCGCCGCTCGGAGCCGCGGCCCCTCTCGACAGACGTGTCCCGGGCGCCCCGGCGCATGGCCCCGACCCGCAGCGACCACGGCCGGTCACAGGGGCGCCCCCAGGCCCAGTCGTCCGCACCTCGGAGAGGAGAAGCGCCGCCGGCGCGAGACCGGCCCCTCCCTCCCGCCGTCCGCCTGTCCCCGAGACCCTCGCCCGCGCTCTCCCACGTCCCCGCCTCCGCGTCGGGGAGTCGCCCGAAGCCGGGGGCCGCCAGCAAGCGGAGCGCAACGCCGCCCGCCCCACCCCCTCTCAGCGCGCCAGGCCCCTTACCCCAGGGGAGCGGCGGCAGCCCCACGGCGCCCTCCCGCGCATGTCCGTCCCGGCTGGCTCAGCGCCGCGGGCTCAGGGGCCCAGACATCGCGCAGGCGCCTCTCCGCTTGCTCGCTCGCTCGCTCGCTCAGCAACCTCGCTCGTCCTCCAACTCGCACTCGCCGCCCGCACTCGGCCGCCGTCGCCGAGGCCGCCGCCGCCTGTATATATAGTGTAAGCGGCAAAACGTGACGTCGACGTTCACTGCCCCGCCTCCCTCACGCAGCCAATGGGGGCGAGGAGTCGCTTAAAGGGGCGATGCCGCGACTGAAGCGTTCGCCTGGGGCCCACCGGGCGTCGCGCGGGCGTTGCGAGCAGGCCGGTTTTGGCTCCTGGAGGAGGTGTGTTTGCGGCCTTCTTCATCACCTCTGCGGGGCCCCTGACACCAGGTTTTCCTCAGAAGTCTGCGGGCAGCCCAGCCTCGCGCGGAATTTCCCCTCCATCCCAGCCTCAGGGAGGATTTTGCACGTTTTTGTAAACGCTCCGCCGCCTGCCGCCGGGCAGACGGACCCAGGAAACCCGGCGGAGGGAGAGCGGCGCGCGCGACGGGGCCCGGGGTCGCAGCGGGGGAGGGACAGCGGGGGACCCTGAGGGTCCGTGAGGGCCGGCCAGGGACAGGAGGGACGGCTGGGACAGCGAGGGACAGAGGGCCCAGAGGGGTGGAGAGATGGAGGGAGGAGGCCAGGTCCTGTCCCGCAGACCGGCAGGGCCGGGCCACCCGCGCCTGCGGAAGGAGCTGTCGCTCCAGGGCCGGTGATGCAAGCTGGGCTTACAGTTTAACCGTAAAATAAATAACTGGAATGATAACAAGGCCAGAGCAGCCGAAGTAAGAAAAAGCAAACACAGAAGCCTCCCCTCTGCATCACTGCAAGGACGTCCTGCAGGGGGACAGCTCGGACCCCTTTGTCCCCCAGCAAAGGGGCTGGGCTAGCCCGGCCTAATCGGGGTCGGTTAACATACGGAATGAGCTTCTGGCCTCATTATCAGGTTAACTGTTAACTCTGCGCCCTCGGGATGATTCGCCTCTCTCCCCTATGGCTGACTTACATTCTTTTAAATTTAATTCAGAGGCGGGATTTTGAATTCTAAGCCTTAAGCACCAAATTAAAAAATCGTGGAAGTCTGTCTGCACTCCCTCGGTTGCAACATGCACAACTGTTTAGCAGGGAGAAAGCTGCACCCCTTCTCTCCTGATGGTTCCTTCTGTCCCCCAGGCGCTGCCTATGCTGTTCAGTATCCCATCTTCTTTCGGTTAGTATTATTTAGGGTTATGGAAATCAGTCACAACAAATTGCTGATTTTCTTATCGAATGAGCTACGTTTTTTGATTCACAGAAAATCTACCCCCTTTCTGTTTACAGCTTACCCATGTGAAGACAGAGAGCTTGCCAAAGGACATCTTTTCAGACCTCACAGTGCAGCATTTACTGAATGGGAACCTCGATGAGCTACAGTTTCATCCCAACCCGAGTTACACCAGTCAACACAATACGTTGTAATTTGTGCTTTGGCCTTATTGGCAAGCTTTTACATTCTCCTATTCATAAAACAGTGATAATCACCAGAGCAACCATCCAACACACCCCTCCTTTAGAGAAGGGAGATCAACAGGATACTCACCGTACAGTGTAACCCATATGATGTGCTGATGTGTTGGTAAATTGTCAAAAATCACAACTGACATGAGTAATACTGATTTTACCCCGAGTAAGACATGGCTTTTCTCTTCTGATTACTTTCAACTTGCAAAATAAACATTTGATTTATTCATTTTGGGGGGAAACCAGTACAGCTGCTAGTTTATACTGAATTTAACTCATATTTTTATAATAAGGCTTTCTTGGCTGTGAAGGAATTACATGAGAAGACTCAATGCCCCATAAATCTTTTATCTAATAGCTTACTTGGTGATCCTTTATAATAACTTTGATATGTCGATGATATTGTAGAATATTTTGGGAAGAGTTTAAAATGAAAATGCTAAGCAGTCTTGAAGTAATCCTAGCATGTTTATCAAGTGATCATTCATTGACCTTCAGCAGATTCAAACACTAGATTAGAGATTGAGGGAAAATATTCTCTCTTCCCCAACCCTAACTTGTTCTAAATTATCTCTAATAAGAAAGAAATTTAAAAAGTTAAAAAAAAAAAACCAAAAACCAAACTCCTCTTACCGTCCATTTAATTTTGAGGCCATTTCCCAAGGAATTCATAATATCTAAAACATTAGACTTGCATCACATTGGCCCAAACTGTCATTTTGTACCAACTCTTCTTTCAGCATAGGAAAAGCTGTCCTTGGAGGAGGAACAAACTTGGTTCTGGCTGAGAAACCTGAGAACTACTGACACTTCCTGAGTCATTACTCCTTTTGTCTTCTCAGGGACACTGCATGTATCATGCATAAGTGTAAATGTGCTGGATGGGGCCTTGTCAAATGCATATGCATATTTTGACATGGAATCCTGTAAAAAAGTATACTCATCTTGGTAACTCTTCTTGATCATAGTTATTTTATGTTTCTGCTTTGTTTATAAAGGAATATTTTAAAGCGAGACACTTGTGCATTACCCTGTTAGTCCTAGAATTTTTATTTTGGTCTACGCAGTGTATAAATGTATATTATGTCATTTTTTTAGAAGCCTGCAGATAAGCATGAAATAAAAATGCATGAACAACAGAAGAATTTTAAAAGAGATTAGTGTGCTGCACTGTTTGGAAATAATCAAGCATATGTGTAGAATATATATGTGTGTATACATATATACATATATATATGTATATATATACATATATATATATATATGTATACACACATATGTAGGTGCAGGATATAGTCTATGAGAAGACTGAGTGGGCTGACTGGAATTTAATAGTCTACTGTTTTAAGTGTTAGGTTCAGGGCTTAAATACTTTTTCCTAGTGTGAGTTTCAGGCAGGCTCTTTATATCATCATTTATTTTTAATTGATCCACCTTTTATGTACCTAATGCTACTTTAACTAAATGCAGTGTTATTGGTGGATATTGTATCTCTAATCCTCTCCTACCTCTAGAGCTTACAACTATTAGAACTTTTTAGTGTACTGTGAATTTATTAACTTAGATACATATTCTAGATGTTTTCAAGACTTTTTTCAAGTTTCTTTTAAGCTTTAATATGACATGTTCAATTTTAAACTTTTAAGCATTTGTCTGAAGTAAGTGCTGTATTTCCTATTAGCTGGCCAGTAGGGTGTGCTGTAGTCCCTTGCCAAATTAATTAATTAAAACAATGTAAATGCTTTATTAAAAGATTTCAGAAATATATTTCACTTCTTCATTGCTACCAGCACATATGAACAAACTACAGATGTGTGCACAGCGTATATGGGAAATGTAATTATATTAAAAAAGAAAGCTTTTATCTGGATGCTTCTTTGGCCTAGTCCTAAGATAATTTGGTATTATTTTACCAAGTCGGTCCTTTGGTCACAGGCATTTTCTTTTATTATGAATAGAGATAGAGAGGGACAAGAATAATGGTGCAGTGGTAAGGAGTACAGGCTCTGTGATCAAGGCTCTGGTTTTGAACTCAACTCTAATACTCTATAGCACTAGCTGTGTGGCTTTGGGCAAGTTATTTAACTTCTAGGTGCTCTGTAACATGGGGAGAAGAGTGACTGCTAAACCATGGGGGTATTGGATAGGTAAGTGTACATGTAAAATCACTTAGATCAGGATCTGGGCGAATCAGGGAGTCAATAAATGTTATCTATTTTATTCTTATTGTTATATAGTCTTTTGAGATATTCTTAAACATCTTTCATTATAAATTCCAAAATTCTCCATTGCTTGTTATTATACCTGATTTAATTTGTCCATCAGGTCAAATTATGTTCCAAAGAACATAAATGACTCATAAAAGTCCTTGACTCTGCAGTGTTTCCTCTTCAGAGGCTATAAACCCTTAAGACAAAGAAAAGAGTCCATATGGGGAAGTTTCAGGCCCCAGCGATCCTTGGGGAGATAAGTGAAGGGCAGGAAGGATCTTCTCAACATCTCTGAAGGCAAGCTAACAAGTAGCTATGAGTCAGTGAGCATTTACTTCTAAATTCATAAACATCCACAGATATGTTTCTTTAAAAAAAAGATTTCTTCTGTACATGAACGTAAAGCACTGCAGAACTTTCTGATGTGAATAACTACAGTTTTCTTTGGAATGCAAAAACAATGATTTGCTGTTGATTTGAAAAAGATAGTGTTTTTTTTTTTTAACTCATGTCACAGAGCAGTAAAGCTGTGAGTTAGATTTTAAAGTTAATGCAGTTTCCTGTTTGCCTCTGAATTCTCTCATCCTTGTGATGACTGATGACAGGGTTTTCTCTGAGACGTTGGTGGGCTCTCCTCTGCTGAGCTCATTCTAAGGAAGCCTCGAAAGCATCTACCTTCCACGGTCAGAATTGCTGCAACCCAAGAGATTCCTGGGGCAAAATAGGAGTTAAGAACAAGCAGGTGAAGGAGTGGTGGGTGATAGGTCTGTGAACATGAGCACAAAGTAAGTCCCGGATGCTTGTTAGAAAAACTAGGGAGCATTGGAGGGCTTAATCTTTGGTAAGGGGCGTAACAAAGGGCTCATTCATTTATTCAACCAGTATTCAGTAAGATTCCCACTGCCTGCCAGTCTCTGTCCTAGCATTGGCTGTGTACCACTGGACAAAATGGACATAAGTTTTGTCCTCATGAAACTTAACAGTATAGTGGGGAAAAAGATGGTGGATAACTAGCAGGTGTGTAAGTCATAACAGCCAGTGAGTTATCAGTGCTAAGGCAGAGGACAATGGTGGCAAGAGACTGAGTGCCCAGGGAAAGCCACCCCAGGAGAGTGGGCACATGTGCTGAGTTCTGAAGTATGTCACAGCATGGTCCAGGTAAAGAGGCCACAGAAGTATGTTTTGGGTACAGGAACAGCCAAAAGTGGGAGACATTGTGGTCTGTTATGAGGAGGGCTCATTCTGAAACCATCAGGAGGCTATTGGATATCTTTAGTGAGAACTGGTGAGAGGGGGCGATGGCAATTATAAAGGAGCAAAGCAAAATGATTCCAGAAAGACTGACTCTGGGTTTCCGTTTGGATCTGGAATCA